TTTCATTATAAATTGTGCACATCATGCTTGAATATTGTGAGACTGAAACTTCTTGCTATATATGGTGCTGGTGTATTCCTTTTTCAGGAATTTGAGAGCAAAGTAACATTGGCATTTAGAATGCTTGGTTTATAGAGGTGAAATTGCATCTGAGCTGAGCCAGAGATTTACCTAATCAATCTCCTTTCTTTTGCCTTTGTCGAATATTCATTCAGAATTTATTTTTTGTCATTCATAAACTTAAATGAACTTGCTTTATATTTGTCAAAAAAGATTGAATTAACTGACGGGGGTTATCTTGAGTAGAGTATTAGCTTCTTTCTTCACAGTACAACTGTACAACGACTACAACGAGAAGTTAAACCTTGTTTCTGATAAACTTATGCCGGCCATGAAATTCTTTTTTCGCATTCCAATTGTAACATGCGAGAAAAATGAAAAATTTTCTGCATCAAGTAACAATTGTATAGAGCAAATTAACTAATGCTGAAAATGATGTCAAATTATGGTTTCAAATAGATTGAACAATACAGTGTATGCACGTATTAATCTTGTTTTCTGCTGTTTTCATACAATTCATTTTAAGTCATTATGAAATTTTGTCCTTCCGTATGGTGATTAGGCGTGTCGAGAATTTAGAAGATCCAAGTTACTTTGACTCGCTCTCTTTTCTCTTGATATCTTATATAAGAAAAACCTGAAACTTGATATGAGACTTGCAATATTTTAATATATCTTTTTGTCACATTTCAGCATGAGAGTAATGAACAAGGACTGACCTTTGATTCCAGTACACCAAGTTTTCACTCTAACCAAGAGGTAATAATTTCTTTGTAACAAGTTGCGTTGGCACTGACAGATGATAGGATCTTATGTTTACCCAACTCATCTGGGTACAGTTAGTTCTGATCTTAATTCTATGATATTCTTGTTAGTTAGTTTTCATTGTTTTGCTTGACACACGTGACATTATATGTGTTTTAAAATAACAATTCCAGGATATCACATTCTTCCGGAGGAGGAGAGGTGGAAGCAGCAGTAAGAATATGCCTCATGATAAGTGGTGCCAAACAGTTCAGCTTGAGCCTGAAGTGATTTCAATGTCCTTCATTCCAATTTCATCACTTTTGAGTGGAATTGATGGGAGTGGATTCTTGGGCCATGCCATCAACCTATACCTACGTTGTAAGCAAAAAAGTCAACTTACTTAAATATGTATATACTTATCATCCTTTAGGAGCTGTCTTATTTCATCCAATAGTTTAGTTTAGTTTCACATGCTCGGCTGAGAGATCACGCCATTGATATGCCACCTAATTTGGACACAAGCTTAGCTCCAGAGTACCTCTTCCTCTGCTAGTGGGTAACCCTAGATGCTCAACCTATTTCTTGACTTGTCCTGTAGAGTCTTCCAATGAACGTTTTGGTCATCTTCTCGATTACTTATAAAAAGTTAGCCACTCGATCTATCTTATACTATATTAATTTGATAAGCACTTTACTAATGATGCTTTAGGGGAGCAGGTCTAGTGTTGGCAAAAGTTCTAATGAGTTGGGAAGCATTTATTGTCCCTTCTCAAACTTTTGAGACCTAAGCATTGATATGATACGATTAGCAGATAGAGTAGCACTCTTACTGCCTTCACTTCGAGGTGTTAATATAATTACAGCAAAAGTACCATTTTTAGGAAATGCAAAGTGTTATCACATGTCGGTGTTCACCTTACTGTTTGCATGCAGATAAACCACCAATTGAAGAACTTCACCAATTTTTGGAATTTCAACTTCCGAGACAATGGGCACCAGTATTTGGCGACCTTCCCCTTGGTCCAGATAAAAAGCAGCAAAATGTTGCATCTTTGCAGTTCAGTTTTATGGGTCCCAAGCTTTATGTTAATGCTAATGAGGTACCACTATCTTAAACTCAAATTTTTAGGCTTCTATCCTAATTATGGTAGACTGCAATTATTTGACAAAGAGAACACATTTTTTAGTTGTTTTGATGGCATAACGACAATTTGATAATCAATAGGCTACAAACTTATCATGACTGCACTTCTATTTTTTTCTTTATTAGCATCCAGTCTTGCTACACTTGGATCTGTATGTGAGTAACATGCTTTTTGAGGATGGTGATTTTAGCGTGCCTTAAAATCGGATTAAGAAAAATTGGGTCTTGATGATACACTCAATATTTGTGTAATGTTGTTCTCTGGTTTAAATTATACAGAACTTCATTGCCTTGCAGTTATGGCCCATGTTTTTGGCTGTTAGCTATTCTCAGCTGATTAAAACCAATGTGGGTCCTCCCAATACCTTTACGCATTTGCAAAAAACTGAGTGAGAGACACTCTTCCTAAAATTTACCAGGGAGGATGAGAAGCGACGTGTCAGTGTGCTATATACAACAGAACCTTTTGAGCTGAAATAAAGAGCCTTCCACTTTGATCAATCTAAGTCTTTAGAAACTATAAGTGTAGATTTTTCGTGGGAAGAGGAATAGCCAGTGTAGTGCTGGATAAAGATTTTAAACATTTTTCTTAGTAACTTCATCTAAAAGCTTTGTTATAGAGGTTCCACGTGTATCATTTAATGTTGTCTTCAACAAGTTTATTTGAACCACCGTGCTATTTTTTAACTTGCTGTCAAAATTTTCATTATTTTTTTCATCAGTGGGTTTGGTGTCAAAACAAGAAAAGTCTGGACATTGTTTAGAACGACTTATTAATTAAAATAAAGGTCTTATCGATTGAGAAAGTCTTATAGATGCTGGGCAATCTTGTCGTGTATCTTTCTTGATCATTGCTAAATTTTGATTCTCAGACGTTTCACAACTTCTAGTTAATAATTTTGCTGGAAATAATTTGGACAGGTTGAGGTGGGGAATATGCCAGTAACTGGGATGCGGCTCTATTTGGAAGGAAAGAGAAGTAATTGCTTAGCAATCCATTTGCAGCACCTTTCCTCTGTGCCAAAAAGCTTTCGACCTCATTATGAATCTGGTCAAAACTACAGTAACTCATATGACCGTAGATATTACGAGAAGGTTCAGGGAAAGAGCTTTTCTTATGTATGCACTGCCCCAGTCGAGTCTGTGGATGATCTCTCTATAGTTACTGGAGCAAGATTTGAAGTTTTGGAATCTGGCATGAAAAGTGTTCTGTTTCTACGCCTTCAATTTGCCAAAGTTGCTGGTGCAACAGTTGTGAAGAAACCAGAGTGGGATGGTTCCCCGGCCCTTGTCCAAAAGTCGGGAATTCTTTCCACTTTAATTAGTTCTAAGTTCTCCACTGGACATAAACCTCCTCCAAAGCCAGCTGATGTTAACATCAACTCTGCTCTATATCCAGAAGGTCCTCCAATGCCTGCACCAACTCGTAAGCTCTTGAGGTTTGTTGACACAACGGAGATGACAAGAGGACCACAGGACCCACCCGGGTACTGGGTAGTATCCGGGGCTAGGCTTATGGTCGACGGGGGTAAAATATCTCTTCGTGTTAAGTACTCTCTCTTAGCCGTGATTTTGCAAGATGAAGAGGTATTATTGCCTGGCTAACAGCTGACCGTCTTGTACAAAAGTGAAAGAAGTATATGGAGGAGGAGCCGGAGCTGGAGCCGGAGAATTAGTATTTTTCTATTTCTTGTGCAAATTGTTAAAGCCCTCCCAAAGATTAATGTTTGATTTGAAATGGGAATTTGGAAACATTTTTTTGGTCATTTGCAATCTTCTCCTTTAGTTATGTGATCATGTCCATACGGATTTCTTGTATGTAATTATTGCTGTAATATTTGGAAATATATAAATATATATTTACCCTTACAAATGAATTTTTGGAGAATCGATTTTGTGAAAAGTGATATTTTTGGAGAATGTGTGGTTAAAAAGTAAAGAAAAATTATGGTTCGCGTACAAAATTATTTTATTGGGAGAATATGAGATTGAAAATGAGTCGGCATGCAAAATATTTTTTTTGGATGAAATCCGTCATTAATGAGAAGTTACGTCATACGTGGGTTAATGAAAGGTTAAGAACAAATACAATATTCATACGAAGATGATTTTGACACGTACGTTCTACAAAATTGTTAAACTATCTAAAATCTTAAATGGTAATAGAAGGGATATTTCTATAAAAATAATAATAATAAACATGGCATTGATGCCATATAAAGTGTAAACTGCTATCTAAAAGTTGATTATTTGTATTTATAACTTGAACTTGTGCAGCCGTGTTGAACTTCTAAGAGGATGTTGCAGCCTACACGGTGAAAGCAGCACCAGGACCAAGTGTCGATACCATGAAAAGTACTCATGTTTCAGAGGAAGAAATAGTCCAACTCTCTGAAAGTAAGAATATTGTCATTTGCTTTTCGACAATTATAATTCAATAAGTAAAAAAGCTGAAGGAAATAGTGATTTTATCTGAAAGATCAGGAGTGGAGGAAGAAAATAAAGGGCATGCCAAAGTTATGAAAGTTGTAAAGAAAAATGGAGCTTCAGCCTTCACTTGTTTTAACCACCCTACCTACTCCTCCTCAACCTACCTACCCCAGCCCCAGGCCGTACAAATAAAGAATACCTGAATTATAGGAGACCCCGTCTCTTATGTTTCATCAGCACACAATCTCTTATATTTCAACAGCACATGATCTGGGGTGAATTCTTACCATCCAAATATGCAGAGACATGAATTTATCTATATAGTACCAAAGAAAGAAACATTGATCAAACAATGATGTTCCAAGAATCCTGATATATGCTAGATACATCTTCAAAACCTCATGAATATGTAATATTTTCAGCAATTATTCTCCTGATTTCTTTCCCCTAAGATTTATTGGTATCGTATTGCCTTCTTGATTTGATTCCAGGTGTGCAATAAATTCCAAGAATTCAACAATGGAGAAGCCTATTTGACATCACCACCTGACGATTTTCTTCTTTCGTTCTCCTCGATTTCGTTGGAATAACAGTAGAATTCGTTGAATTTGAATAGAAAATGGATCTTTTCAAGAGAGCCAAGACAATCCGACTGCGCAGCTACAAGGACAAATACCTAATAGCCGAAGATGATCAAGAATCTGTCTGCCAACATCGTGATGGAACAACAAATAACGCACTCTGGACCGTTGAATTCGTTCAAGGAAGAGACCTTTTGCGCATCAAAAGTTGTTATGGAAGATACCTCACAGCCTCAAACATCCCATTTCTTCCCGGGGTTACAGGAAAAAAAGTCATCCAAACCTTGCCAAGCAAATTTGAACCAGCCACTGAATGGGAACCTTTGAGGGATGGAATGCAAGTCCGGCTTAGAACATTGTGGGGCGACTTTTTACGCCCAAATGGCGGCCTTCCCCCATGGAGGAACTCTGTCACACACGACATTCCTCATTGGCACAAATCCTACAACAAGATCTTGTGGGATGTTGAGGTGGTCGAGACCTTCCCAGTGCATCATCGTACACGTTCAGGTTCTGCATTCTTCAGATCAAGATCTTCAGTTTCTGCATAACTTGCTTTTCCAAAACCAAAGCAGAAAAAATTCATGAGCATTCGTTAGAACAACCATAAAGGTTGCAGTTCTCCAAATACGTTGTATAATATGCATATTGAATTTGGTCTGTGAAGATCAGCAGCACATAGATTTCTCCCAGTTCTTTGGGGTCTTATTTTTGCACAATGGGATTACATGATCTTTGCCTGCTGTTCCATTAGGACCAATTTAAGAAAGCAAAACGTTCACTCGTACCGGTGTTTGTAAGATCACAAGACTGGTAGAAAAGGCAAATTTCATGTCTGTTTGTTGGTTTGTTCTCATTGAGTGTTTTCTTGGTTGAAATTGGGGAAAAACTGCATCTCTACCATCACTCGTGTTAGGAATTGAGAATGACGAAAAAATCCGTTAAACCCGCCCCGCTTGAGATTGGGATTATCCTGCCTAATCGGGTAAAAAGGGCGGGGTCATAAACCCTCTTTAAACTTAATTTCAAATTTAAACTATCAAATAAAAATAAAAGATTTATCATCATTTTTAAAGATAACATAAGTTGTTCTTAACAAATTGAAAAAAAAAGTAATAATATTTACTAACTAAAAATATAAAATAAATAAAAGCAAAGAATAAAATAAATAAAAAGTAAATGGGACGATAAATTGGGTAGAAGACCTATCCGGATCCAAAATACTCACTTCCTAAACACAATTAGAAATGTACTTTCTTAATAGTTTTCAGATATTGTTGGAAATTGAGAGAGGTTGGACCAAAAGCATATGAAGAGTATAAGAACAATATGTTCTTGATGATCTACAGGAGATATACAATTCCAGAAGATCGAGAGCAGGTGAGAGTGAAGTACGTTCCAATGGGTTTTGGAGATTGTAGGAATCAGATCAGTGAGTTTAACGAGTTTTCTAGGCTGGATATCAATGGAAACTACAGCTTGGTCCCGAAATTTTTTACCAAGTTACGAGTTTTCTCCGTCATCAATTCTTTGTATTGTTTATATTATTGATTTCATAAAAGCCGGCAATTCAACATATGATAAATTGACGTGATTGATTAATCATTTAGAAACAACTAAAAAATGACTTGTTGCTTTTAATTGTGTAATTCCGCACGTTGAGCCTAAATATTCAATGATTTAGGGTCCGTTTGATTGTAAAGGTAGAAAATGAGTGGAAATAAAATGTTTTACAGGGAATTGAATTGTTTAGAATTTGTTTTACTAGAAATTGTAATTAATTGTGTTTGATTTGTATAATTTTTCACCTGGAAAATGTTGAAAGTTTGGTGTTCGTTTGACTTCGTTTTTTTTAATGGAAATTGTCCATTAAAATGATAATTTTCCCTACCATTGGGTTTAGAATTTGTTTCAATTG